GTCCACATGATGTAGCAGACCTCTCCTGTCTCACCACTGCTCCCCTCAGCAGTGTATTTCAGTAGATCCGCATGTTCTGTTCCCCACTCTGTCTCTGGTGAGTCATCTCACACCCTGCACCTCTGGCCTGTACCCCAGTTCTTGTATACATAAATAAATCTTTAAAAAGAAAAGTTGTTCAAAATATATTAATTGTGGATATGACTGAGAAGGCTAAATTAAGTTGTATATTTTGCACTATTGATGAGAACTATCCTTTGAAGTTTTGTGTCATCCTGTCACTGGTTCCAATTCTGATTATGGATTAATTCCTCCCCTTTTTATTTACAGATTTATTTATGGATACAAGAACTGGGGTACAGTCCAGAGGTGTGGGGGTAGTGGTGAGAGGATTCACCAGAGACAGAGTGGGGAATAGAACAGGCAGACTGACTGAAATACACTGCTGAGGGGAGCAGCGGGCGAGTCAAAAGAGGTCAGCTGTGGCATGTGGGTAGCTCCCTGGCGGCCCAGAACGAACTCGTGCTGCAGAGGCTGCGGATAGCTTCACAGCAGTGTTTTTAACCCCTTGCGCCACTAGGGAGGCTTTAATTTTTCCCTTTTTTGTAAAAAAGTGTATACCGTCAATCACTCTTGCAGTCGTTTCTCAAGCAGGCCCCACTTATTCTTTGCTTGAAACTGTACTTAATGTCTTTTGAATACATTTAATCTATAATCTCGCATCATAACAATCTGCTGTCTTCCTTTTCCACTGACAGGGAGAGATACAAGCATACAAACCAACAAAGTCAAACTGAAAACTATCAAATGTAATCCTCCAAAGTGTGATACAATTCTATTTAAATATTTTTGAATTGTGCAGTGACTTTTTTTTTTTGCAATTTTTTTTTTTATAGAGGCATGTTTTATTTATTTGTTTGTTTGTTTGTTTGTTTATACATGCACTGGGTACAGTCAGAAGCGCGGGAGGGTGAGAGAATTCACCAGAGCCAGAGCAGGGAGCAGAGCAGGCAGAAGGACCGAAGTACACTGCTGAGGGGAGCAGCGGGCGGCAGGAGAGGTCTGCGCGCCATGCAGGACCCTCCTCCAGTGGCCGGGGAGCAGCTAGGAATCGAACCGGCGCTGCAGAGGCTGCGGGCAGCTTCGCAACCCAGAGCTCAACCGCTGCGCCACCGGGGAGGCCCAGTGCAGTGACATTTTTGAAAGTAGTTTTTTCCCTAGCTAAAATGCTTCTGGAAAGAGATTTTTGACCAAATTAATTATATAAAGCAATATATATAAAGCAAAGCATTATTGGTACTAATGGCCTATTATTGAGATTTTCCCAGGAAGAGCGTCTATTTAATAGACACAGGTTGCTGACTTTGTACCAAGATTTTTCTACTTTCAATTGAGTTGAATTAAATTATATTGGAGTAGCCAGATAACATTTTAATACATGTCCCATGCAATATTTGAGCCATATTTATCCTAAAAATTATTTGTTGGTTATCTGAAATTCCCATTTGAGTATCTTGATTTTGGTGTGGGTTTGATTTTGTTTTTCTAACTTTTCAACCCTATTCATGGACTAATATATTTTTTTAAGATTTATTTATTTATACAAGAACTGGGGTAGAGTCAGAGGTGCGGGAGGGTGAGAGAATTCACCAGAGACAGAGCAGGGAGCAGAACAGGCAGATGGACCAAAGACATTGCTGAGGGGAGCAGCGGGTGATGCAGGTCTGCTGTGCCATGTAGATTTCTCCCTGGCCAGCCGGGAATCGAACCCGTACTGCAGAAGCTGCGGATATCCTCAGAGTGCAGCGCTCAACCCACTGTACCACCAGGGAGGCCCACCTATTTATGGATTGAGGTTGCCCTTATTTTTTTTTTTTTTTAAACATTTTTTTTTATTTTTATTTTTTATAGAGGCATGTTTTTATTTATTTATTTGTTTGTTTGTTTGTTTTGTTTATACATGCACTGGGTACAGTCAGAAGCACGGGAGGGTGAGAGAATTCACCAGAGCCAGAGCAGGGAGCAGAGCAGGCAGAAGGACCGAAGTACACTGCTGAGGGGAGCAGCGGGCGGCAGGAGAGGTCTGCGCGCCATGTGGGACCCTCCTCCGGTGGCCGGGGAGCAGCCGGGGATTGAACCGGCGGCGCAGAGGCCGCGGGCAGCTTCACAACCCAGCGCTGAACCGCTGCACCACCGGGGAGGCCCGAGGTTGCCCTTATTAAAAAGCCATCGAGCTTTGGGCCTCCCCTGGTGGCGTAGCGGTTGAGTGCTGGGCTGCGAGGCTGCCCGCAGCCTCTGCAGCGCTGGTTCGTTCCCCGGCCGCAGGTGAGGGTCCCACCCAAAGAAAAAAAAAGCCATCGAGCATTGCTGGCTCTCAAGCCTTCTGGGCATCTATAATAAGATTAATTTTTTTCTTATGATAGAAGTAAGGCTATTAGACAAAATTCTTATGATAGAGGGAAGGCAGTTAAACAGCAGATAGACTCTGAGTATCTCAATTTCATTAATTCAGAACAAATTCATCATTACTAAAAACCCTGACACATGAAGTTGCTTCTGCTGTTTTCCAGCTCTACAAAGAGCTCGGGCTCGACCTGGACAGGCCTAGTGTTGTTTTGGAGCTGCCACAGAACTACTCAGCTAACCAGTGCAGCTAATTTACCTGGCATGTCTAGACCCTGCTATGCTGAGGACTAAACACATGTCCAAATTAATCTTAAAACCAAAAGAGCACAATAATTTTTTTTAGAAAAAAATGTTTCTCACTAGTTACAATTTATTACCATAACAACTTTTGTGTGAGAAATTACCATAACTTTTTTTTTTTAAAGATTTATTTATTCATGCATACAAGAGCTGGGGTGTAGGCCAGAGATGCGGGGGATGAGAGGACTCACCAGAGACAGAGTGGGGAACAGAACAGGTAGATTGACCGAAGTACACTGCTGAGGGGAGCAGAGGGCGAGACAGGAGAGGTCTGCTGTGCCATGTGGGTTTCTCTTTGGCCGGCTGGGCATTGAACTCGTGCTGCGGAGGCTGTGGACAGCTTCATAGTGCGATGCTTAACCCCTTGCACCACCAGTGAGGCCCAAATTACCATAACCTTTTAATAGAGCAGAAAAACCTGTTTATCAATTATGAAATAATTTAAATATAAAATTTTTAAATCCTGTTCATTCTGGGTAAGCACTCTGAGTCCTGAAGTCAATAGAACTATATGTCCAGTAGATGGCAGAAGTAACCTAAATCATTAGATTTAGGTAAATTTGATATCAAGCTGTCTCTTTAGATGTGTGCACTGGTGTAAAAATGACTCCTGAATTTATACTTCAGTGTTAAAGGCATACCATTAATAACTAGTTATTAAATATTTTAAACATTTTTTAAAGATTTCATTTATGCATACAAGAACTGGGGTGTAGGCCAGAGGTGTGGAGGGTGAGATGATTCACCAGAGTGGGAAGCAGAACAGGTGGATCTACTGAAATACACTGTTGAGGGGAGCAATGGGAGAGACAGGAGAGGGGCCATGTGCGTAGCTCCCTGGCCAGGGATTGAACTCATGCTGCAGTGGCTGGGGATAGCTTGATAGCGCTGAGACTTTAACCCCTGCTCCACCCCTGTTGTATTTTGCTGTATTGTTGAATTCAGTTGCATTGTTTACTTTTGTGGGTCATGGCTGCAGTGTTCCACATTTGCCAAGGGAAACTTACGTGTAGATTACATGGAGAAAAACTCTTAAGGGGTGGATTGTAGGATAAAGATTTCTCAGCTTTTGCGCTATTGGCCTCTGTGGCTATCACCTGTGGTCTTGAAGGCAGGTGGCACTTGGGAGCATGAATTTAGGGCATGGATGCCTGATGGTGGACAATGGAGTATGGAGTGGGGATGCATAAATGGGCACACCTGAGCGTGGAGGCAGAGCATATAAGGGGATGCAGCAGAGGCCTATGCAGCAGAGTGCAGAGGAAAGCAGCGGAGCCCAGAGAACCGCCTGGGAGGTAGGACTCCTCCCAGTCTGGTGGGCCCCCTGCCTGCCCTGCACCTGATAGCCTGACTACAAATGGTGTAGAAAGTTTGCTAAAAGCCTAAAAAAAGCCACTGAGGGTTCTAGGACTCTCCTTTGCCTGCTTTGCCCTATTATCTGCCTACACTACACAGGTCTACTTCCTGCCCTTGAGATTATATAAATCTGGAATTGATATACTTGAGCTCACTGACAAAATATATTAGTCTGAAATGGTAGATATCAGACAAGACTTAACCAGTATCCTGAAGAACGAATAGAATTTGGATCAGAGACAACACTGGGTAACAACATTAGCAAAGATAGAATTGGAATTAAGAAGTATATAGGAGTCAAATACTAAAATTCTAGATCTAGGACCAATATTAGTATCTGTATACCATAATGGCCAAGAATTTCACACTCAGGTATCTCTCCTGCTGACCTGTGACATGCAGGTGCTTCTCTTTTACTCCTTTTCCTAATAAACCTTTCCTTTTTTAAAAAAAAAGATTTATTTATTTATTTATACATACAAGCACTGGGTACAGTCTGAAGCACGGGAGGGTAAGAGAATTCACCAGAGCCAGAGCGGGAAGCAGAGCAGGCAGAAGGACCGAAGTACACTGCTGAGGGGATCAGTGGGCGGCAGGAGAGGTCTGCACGCCATGCGGGACCCTCCTCTGGTGGCCAGGGAGCAGCTGGGGATCGAACTAGCGCTGCAGAAGCTGTGGGCAGCTTCGCAACCCAGCGCTCAACCATTGCGCCACTGGGGAGGCCCATAAACCTGTCCTTTTAAAATTTAAAAAAAAATCACAACCAAAGTTTCAGTTATTTATTCTCTAAGGATGATTGATTGGTATCTAGAAAGCGTTTATCATTAACAGTTTGTACAAATACAGAAAACACAAGAATAAACTTCAGGAAAAGATGACTTACCCATACCCACCCACCATTACCATAACTCTACTAGTAACATAAAAGATCACAAACATTGAGATTAAACCGGTAAATTTTATTATCAAATGTAACAATTCTACAAAAACTCAGTAGTATTGTAGTATTTCTGCCTAGCTTAAAGTCTTCAAAGCTTTGGGCAGACAGCATCTTTAGGCATCAAGTATAAAGAACTTTTTTCTGATCTTAAGTGCCAGTTATGAATTTTCATACAAAATGGTTTTCTTTTTTCCTACTGCAGTTAAAGGGCCATTGATGGTCAGTTGAAGAGGGAATATCTGGCTCTCTATTCAAGGTGTTAATCAAAATAATGCAAGTAAATAAAAATAGCAGCCACATAAATCTGCATGGCATTGCATCCAAGCAAAAGACAATGAGTAACTTAAAGAAATATGTGCACTTAACCAAATCCTGTTTTCCTTTTTGGAGTTATGTGAGGCAGCAGTACTTGCTAGCTAGTGTCTAATATTGCACGTTTGTAGCATAAACACAGTGCTAAACACTGACAACATCAGTACCTGCTCTAACCACATCATTGTTTACCCTCTTAGTCTAGCATGCTGGCTATAATCCTATGTTTTTAAAAGTTTTGATTATTCGACAGTCAAGACATTAGAGAAAGGTTTAAGGCTACTTTAATATATACAAGTTTTCATTTCCATTAGTATGTTTTCTAGAATACACTGTTCAAATGTTCTCATTTTTTTTGATATTAAAAACTATGGAATTTCTTATCAAAGTCCAAACCATCAGTAATGGGAAAAGCACAATATAAAATAATACATATGAAGCCACAATATTCAATTATACTTCAAACTAGAAATTACTACCTACCTATAGCTGCTTCATTTTTGGTTTCATATTTTGGCCCCTAGTTCATTCATATTTACAACTGGTTCCTGCTGAGAAACAGATCAAACTTTTTGAAACTATGTATGTTCTGCAGTTTCATCTAATGTATCCCAATGTGCTTTTAAAACTTCTTTTCATTGGTTTTAACTATAAGACATCATGTTGGTCAAAAGACTGGAAAATATCGGTGTTATTTTTAAGTTTGTGATTTAAGTATTCTAAGACCTTATTCTAGATTTTATTAGTAAGCAAGGGGGCATGATCGTGCAGGAGGTATGGAGTTAGAGAATGAAGAATGGAAACACACAAAATGAAGCTTCCATGAACAGAGTTCCTGGCGGAGATGGTAGACACTAGTGGAGGATTGTTTTGTTTTGTTTAAGACTTAAAACTTAGGAAACATCTATGATGCCACATTAGCTGGAAGTTAGGGAGACATCTGATTTCAAATTCACATTTTAAATGCCTATTTGCAAATCAGCAAGGAGCCTGGCATGCTGCTTGCCATTAAGATTTGGCTTCGCTGGCTCAAATTTTTCACTCCACCCAAAAGATAGGTCACAGGCCCACTGTCCAATCATGTTTGCTGAAAATACTGCAGCCTGAGTGGAGACAAACTTCCTCTGAAGTTGCTAGAAGTTGTCTCTTGTCTGACGGTTTCAGAATCACCATATATCTTTCAAACACTGAAAAAAACAAAACAGAAATATTACAGTCTATAAATTTTTCAATTCTCAGCAGTCAGGAAAAAAAAATTTGAATTCCAAAAGATCTAAAAAAAAAACCCTTTAAGTAGTTCAGACTTTAATTTCACACAGACATAACTGCCATTATGTGTCTGCCATAACTGCCACACAGCAAATTCTACAGGGTATCACACAGGCGATGGACGTATACAGGATGTTATTTCTACAACTCCTTACTGTGTATTGCATTATGTGTAATAATATCTAGGTTTCTACCTTCCTACTTGCCTCAACTCCCTTGTGGAGAGACTATTTTTATACTATTCATTCCTTTTCCTGGGTCCCCACATTATAGCAGAATTCTTCTGATGAAGATTCAGATGCCATTATCAAAAACCAGTAATAATTACTGAAATTGAAGTCTAGAATAATAAATTTCAAATAATTCCAAACAAATGTATTTGTATCAATACAAGGCACTAAAGAATGACATTATAGCAAACATGAGCTCTATGTGCCAGGGAGATGATTAGCAGCTGCTCTGTGACTATTTTATCCTCAAAACCACCCAATTAGATTACCGTGTCATCCCAGTTTTACAGGTAAGAAGACTAAGGCACACAGTGATTAAGCCAATAACTGGCAGATCCAGATTTAAATATAAATTGGTTATACTGTTATTTTACTTCCATATCACATAAAAATTTTAAAATTAAAACTTTAATGAGGCACTATGCATACTTCTACTTATGAGAAACAGAGATGGAGAGAGAAATAAAAATAACCCTTCAGATTTCTGTTTATAAGACCAGTTTGAAATTATGGTTTAGGGCCTCCCCTGGTGGCGCAGTGATTGAGCACTGGGCTGAAAAGCTGCCCGCAGCCTCGGCAGCGCCGGTTCGATCCCCGACAGCTGGCGAGGGTCCCACATGGCGGGCAGACCTCTCCTGCCGAGCCCGCTGCTCCCCTCAGCAGTGTATTTCAGTCCATCTGCCTGTTCTGTTCCCAGCTCTGGCTCTGGTGAATTCTTTCACCACCCCCCGCCATGCTTCTAACTGTACCCAGTACTTGTATAAATAAATCTTTAAAAAAAAATGAAATTATGGTTTAGATTACATTTTAATGACAGTTTCTAAAATTGATATAAATTTAAAATCAGGTATTTAAAAAAACAGTGGAAAACTTTTTTATGTCAGAATTCATTTTGAAAATGTGGTTTACAAAGTGACCATAACTTAACACTAGCCTAAAACAATGTAGCCTCTCTCTCTCTCTCTCTCTCTCTCTCTCTCTCTCTCTCGTGCACGTGCGCTAAGATTTATTAATTCATGCCTACAAGAGCTGGGGTGTAGGCCAGAGGTGTGAGGGGGTGAGAGGATTCACCAGAGACAGATTGGGGAGCAGAACAGGAGGACCTACTGAAGTACACTGCTGAGGGGAGCAGCGGGTGAAACAGGAGAGGTCTGCTGTGCTATGTGGGTTAGCTCCCTGGCTGAGGATCAAACTCATGCTGCAGTCAATAGCTGGATAGTGCTGTGACTTAACCCCTTGCACTACCGAGGAGGTCCTATAGTTTCTCTTTGGATACTACATAGATAAGAAAATCTCACACAATACTCTTACCATACCTATTATACCCTTCTGTTGGCAACAACATCTGAATTTTACTTAAATAAAGACCTCCTGTCATCTAATCTCCATAAAGAGGTAACTTTATCCAGCACAAAATAAAGGACCCATTCATAGCCAGTAAGTGTCATGTATATCCCTGGCCTTGGTGGTTTCAGAGATGAACTTAAGCCAGGCCATCAAACTCAATTCCTGACTTGCTCCTGGACGTGAAATGGAAGCGTGTAAGACAAGTATTGCTGGGGTACCTCAAAAGTGACTAAAAGTGAGGCCTTGCAAACAGCCAAATCAGTCAACCCTAGATCTATCAATGAATACTACAAATTCCTAGTCCAGGGGGCGTCCCTTGTGGCGCAAGGGGTTAAGCACTGCACTATGAAGCAATCTGCAACCTCTGCAGCATGAGTTCGATCCCCAGCCAGCCAGGGAGAAATCCACATGGCTAGGCAGACCTCTCCTGTCTCACCCACTGCTCCTCTCAGCAGTGTATTTCAGACAATCTGCCTGTTCTATTCCCCACTCTGTCTCTGGTGGATCTTCTCACCCCCTGCATCTCTGGCCTGTGCCCCAGCTCTTGTATGCATAAATAAATAAATCTTTAAGAAAAAAAAAAACATTAGGGCCTCCCCAGTGGCAGAGCGGTTGAGTGCTGGGTTGCGAAGCTGCCCGCGGCCTTTGCGGTGCCGGTTCAATCCCCGGCTGCTCCCCGGCCACCGGACATGGCGCGCAGACCTCTCCTGCCGCCCGCTGCTCCCCTCAGCAGTGTACTTCGGTCCTTCTGCCTACTCTGCTCCCCGCTCTGGCTCTGGTGAATTATCTCACCCTCCCACACTTCTGACTGTACCCAGTGCATGTATATACAAAACAAACAAATAAATAAATAAAACATGCCTCTATTAAAAAAAAAAAGAAAAAAAGAAAAAAAAAACATTATGTACAAAGAAGTCTTTTTAAGTTATCTGTATTTCAGCAACTGGTGATATGTCCTATGCAATGAACTCCTTAAAACACCTGCAATTCTGACAGGTTGTAATACTTTATTTCCTTAGTAACTTTGACATCTCTTCTGAAACATTTAAACCAGTTCTCACATTACTTTGTTAGGCGAAAAGAACAGCTTCTTCTTTATTTATAAAAGGTTAATCAAACTCAAATTCTTTAATCAAGGAAGTTAATAACCTTTTTGAATTTGTCATTTAAAATAAATGGAGTTATCAATTTTTTTCAACATTCTTCCCCACTATAAACAAATACTTGGAAAGGAGAGCAGGGTGGGCTGGGGAGAGAAACAGGAGAGGAGAACAATAAAGACATACCTAGTTCAGGGAATTTTGTTATGGGAGCCTCAACAGACTAAGACATTCACCAAATGATCATGGCTGTCATCACTAATGATGTCATGTGGACACAATATCCAAGATATTACATGATGAGAAGGAAGGCACTGCACCTTTATGGTATTCATTCCTAGCTCCATCAACCCAGACCAAACACAAGAAAAACATCAGACAAATTAAAACTGAATAGTAACCCACAAAATAAACTCCAAATTGTCAAGGTCATGAAAAACAAGGAAAAATTGAGTATCACAGACCAGAGGACACACTAAGGAGACAGACCAACTAAATGCATTGTAGAATCCTAGATCAGATCCTGGAATAGAGAAAGAAAATCAGTGGAAAAAAATTAGTGAAATCTGAATAATATCTGAAATGTAGATAATAGTCAAAATCATTGCTTCTATGATTTTTTTTAAGATTTATTTTTGCATAGAAGAATTGGGGTGTAGGCCAGAGTTGTGTGTGTGTGTGTGTGTGTGTGAGTGTGTGTATGGATTCACTAGAGACAGAGTGGAGAGCAGAACAGGCAGATTGACTGAAATACACTGCTAAGGGGAACAGTGGGCGAGAAGGAGAAGTCTGCTGCATCAAGAGTGGGTAATTCCCTGATCAGATGAACTCAGGCTGTGGAGGTGATAGCACTGAGACTTTAACCCCTACACCACCAGGGAGGCCCACTTCTATGATTGTTGTAGTAACCCAATAGTTATCTGTATTTTTGTATTTATAAAGAACTTCACACCTGGTAAAAACATTATACTCATTAATCTACCTAATTTTCAACCACCAACAAAAAATTACTTATGTAGAAGTGAATTTATTCCAGTTTTATAGAACAGGGAAATGTCACCTCTAAAGAGTTATCTCTACAGGAATGTAAAACATAGTTATAGTTAAGCACTTGTGAACAGATTTAAATTTATGAGATGCCCGAGCCCCACTGGGGCCACAGAAATATGAAACTTGGAACTTAAACAGGTAGCCATTCGCGAGCAAGAATTTAATATTTTAAACATTTTTTTTTAATTTCTCAAAGAAAGGGAAAAATTATTGTGCCCCGGGCAGACCTCACGGACCCAAAATGGGGGTCAGTAAAGCTGCCTAAACATTTTTTTAAGATTTATTTCATTTATGCATACAAGAACTGGGGTGTAGGCCCAAACCCTCCCCTCCCTAAGTCTAAGGAGGGCTTTTTCTAGCCAAGTGGCAAACCACCTTCCCACAGGACCTCTCTAGCATCTTCAATGGCTTGTGAGATGACCCTTGAAGTCTTTCATGACCAAAAAAAGAGGCAGATCTATAGCTCTTGGGGTACTGAACAAGTAACAGTGGGCTGATGGAACAGGTTGTGTGAGAAGACAGAACAATGTGACTTCTATGTCAGGCCTTGACTACCATTATCTGACATCTTTCTTTTCATCAATTTTTAGGACATTGTATTAAGCTTTCTATTGTATCACGTTTCAGTAACAAATTACCACAAAGTTAGTGGCTTCAATCAGAAATCTCTCTTACAATTCTGGAGTCCAGAAGTCTGAAGTCAGGCTACACACCTTCCAGAGGCTCGAGGGGACAATTTACTCTTTGCTTCCTTCCCGGCTTCTGGTAGCTGCAACTGTTCGTTGGTTATGTCTGCTTCACTCCAATCTCTGCCTCCATGATCACATTTCTTCTTTCTCTCCTGTATGTTTCCTTCTGCCTCTCTTATAATTACATTTAGGGCCCACCAGATAGCCGAGGGTGAACCCCTCCTATCAAGACCCTTAATTTACATATTGTGCCAAAAAAGGTAAGCCCAAGTTTCCAGAGATTAGAATGTGAACATGTATTTGGGGCTACCATTCAGTTCAAGACATGCTTGTACCCTGCCATTCTCTTATTTGGCTAGTGGAAAAGAACACCAAGAGCCAGGAGTTAAGAATCTTTTGGTTAGCTTGGCCTTACCTGTAAGACTCTAAAAGTGATCTAACTTCCCTGGGTTTTATTTCCTCATTTATCGATTGGAGCCATAGTTATCCACCTCACAAGGCT